TTTTGCTGGGTAAAGTTGGAAGGCAAAAAAGTGCGGAAGGTGGAAAGATCGGTTGGGGAGTTACTTTGAGTTATCGAAGTGCTGGTAGAGGGTGGAGGGTGGTCTGTGATGTGAAACAAGAAAGGGTGTGTAAGAAAAAATGCAATGAAAGATCAGTGGGACAGTGTAGCAATTACCGAAACTGGGCAGGCTGTCTGGAGTCAGTGAACGTGGTGCAGCTGCGTGAGCACTTGTAACTCGAGGACGTTTCCGCAATTGGCGAGGCGACTTCCGCGAAAGGAGGACAGATTCTCGATCTTCGGCAGGTACTGGCTAAGCTTAAAGACTCGCTTCTGTTCTGTGTACATTTAGAAATGCATAATATGACGGAGGGAAACAGGAAAGGGGGAATCTGCTTGCAAGGGGACAATTCGGTTAAGAGGAGAGTTTGGGTTTTTGCGAGTTCCTGACACTGTTTGGAAGTAAGGCAACGGTTGAAGTGGCGTCGGCGGTGGTAGCAAAATGTAACTTTTGCAAAGTGTCGACGTGGTAGTACAAAGTGATAGTGTTGTAGTGAAGATCTTAACTTTTGACGATCTCGTTAGTTGTGTGTCTCTTCTTTGAATTCGTTTCAGCGACTGAATTCCAACCGGGGAGAGAGCATCTTTTTATATATGGTCAATTCTCCGAAAACAGCAANCGGCGGTGGTAGCAAAATGTAACTTTTGCAAAGTGTCGACGTGGTAGTACAAAGTGATAGTGTTGTAGTGAAGATCTTAACTTTTGACGATCTCGTTAGTTGTGTGTCTCTTCTTTGAATTCGTTTCAGCGACTGAATTCCAACCGGGGAGAGAGCATCTTTTTATATATGGTCAATTCTCCGAATACAGCAACAGCAGCAGCAGCCTTTCTGTGGCTTGGCAGTTGCCCGCAGAGAGTAAGGCGCAAGAGATAGGGAGAGACAAATACGTTTAATTAATTCTCTTTTGCTCATCTCCCCAAAAACCAGCCTTTTTCTCTTTCCAACTGCAACTTGCTGATAGAAAAAACAGAAACAAACAGGTACCAAGTACGTTTCAGTGCTGATGAAAGAAGAGGAGAAGAAGAAGAAGAAGCAGATGAAGCAGAAAAAATGATGAAAAATAACGAAAAAGTGTCGTACGTTACTTGAAGTACAGGTTTCTGTGGCCAAGATGGCCAAGATTGAAAAGAGCGATTTTGTTCAAAGTGAAGCCTGTTTGTCACTATACTTACTGCTCGCTGCCACAACTGCGGCAACGTGAATGACACGTGATCGAGATAAGAACAGTACAAGTCAAAGAGAGAGAGAAAGGGAGAGAGAGAGGTAGAAGAGAGGATTGGGGAGGATAGAACTAGATGCCATGCTGAACAAGATGGCCGACAGAAGAAGAAAAAGAAGAAGTAAAATGACGAAGAAGCAACAGCAGTCGCCATATTTGGAAGATTTTTGAGCCGTTTTTTGCAGCCATTACTGCGGGGCTCATCTTTACCATCGGCGATCGTACTCGAGTACAGGGTCAGCATTGCCATCAACGACGAGTTCGTCGACGTGCCGCTGAACACAGGCACAGCAATGTGCGGCAACTTGCCTAGCAAAAAAGGAACTAGTGGCGTCCGTGATTTTGATCAGCTTTACCACAAAGCGGATGGTGAATAATTTAAATTGGAGATGAAGTTGTAGACGGGACAAGTGGACACCACGTTTTTTATTATCTTTTTCTTCTTTATTTGAATGTTCTTTTGGCCTCCTCGTGACTGCAGTCACTTATCCAGTTGGTCACCGTCAACTTGGTTACCTGATGCTGATGATTGATAAAGTGAATATCAAAGCACTTCACTTCTTTCTTCATCCCCTTCAATTTTACCCCTTCCCTTCTACAGAAACGTTGTACATTCGAAACTGTTTTTGTCATTTTTCAGTGCAAATAAACACACACTCATTCCTGTACATGGGAAAATGTACATTGTATCTAATCAGTTTTGAACTTCTAAATTCAGCCATCATTCGATGCTAATCAATTCATACATGAATGACATCACGAGATTCAAAAGCAGAGATTGCTGATAGAAAATGAAGTTCACTTGTGCTTGAGTGTGTTGTTGATGCAGAAACTGAGTGAACCACAAAGTAAACTAAAGATTTCAGTTTATTTTTGTTGCAAAATTTCATATTTAACATACAAAAAAAATAATTGAACAAAGTGTTTTACTTGACTACTTAGCGTGTTGTAGGTGTTTCTGATAGAAGCACCTGTTGAGTGAATGTTTAAAATAAGTTTTAAAAAATATTTGTAAAATTCGAGTCGGGGTCAACACCACCATCAGTTTTCTTCCTTCATATTTTTGAAACATGAGTAGGTCAATTTAATTGACACTGGTTTGCTAACATTACAGTAAATTTTAATTAGCTGCAGCAGTGCACTTTATAACAAATAGCTATAGATGCGCCTATATTTTTTGTTTGTATAATGGCTCTGAAACCTCACAGTGCCTCAAAATGCTATTCCCTGCAGTCCTCAAGTCTTTTACAAGTCACTCAACGCAAACAAACACAAACAAAAAGCAGAGCTACTGAAATGCCGCTTAAATCTGCTGTTAATCAAAAAAAAGAATAGAGTTGTTAATGTAAAAGTGAGAATAAGAGTGGATTTCATTGAAGTGGCAATTGTGCTTGCCTGACTGTTTGCAGACAGCGGAGAGGCTCATTGCACAGCAGCAACCGTCGCCGCATCAACTTAGAAGTGGCAGCAAATAAAGAAAAGAATCGGGCAATAAATACGAGTTCAGATCAATTGGTTCCGGTTTAGGTGGCAGCAGACAGTGTGATTTTGGCAGAAAAGAATACAACAGAATAAGAAATAAATTTATTCTTCCTCAAACAAAACGGCTCATCAATCAGACACCGAGAGTGAGTGAGAGAATGACTATTAATAAATCAATGCTCGACGACGAATGAGCGAGAGCCAGAAAATGAGCAAGTGAGAGAGAAAACCGAGAACAGAACGGAACAGGCGAGAATCTCATGAATTTTCCTGACAAATAGGTGGTCGATAGTAAGGCAGCAGCTCTCTTTGGCAGACTCTTTGTGATTTCTATGTCACTTCTTCTTCTTCTTCAAACTTTTAAAGCGAATTTGTCTTTGACTTTAACTTCAGCAGCAACAGCAGAACCAACAACAACAGTAACGGCAGTGCCTTTTATGGAACACCTTACTCCAGGCAAAAGAAGCGTAGGAAGTAGGCATCTTCGAGGGAAAAAAGTTGCCACTGGTAGGATGCTTCGGCTGTGCAACGGTTTGCATCTGCCGTTGTCGCATCATATAGCATTGGCACTTGAAGCAATCGGTGGTGAGGAACAACACACACTCACACAGTCACAGTCACACACAGTGCACTTCATTATTGTCGAGCGAGGACAGAGGCAGCAGAAGAAGAAGTAGCAGAAATTGCAGTAGTAGGACGTTTTCTCTATCTCTTTCCTCATTTCTAATTGCCTACTTTTTTTCAGTGCCAAATTTTCTATATTCGGACTCTGCTGCTGTGAGTGTGTGTGTGTGTCTGTTCAGTAGAGTCGTACAACCGAGAAACAGCCGTACAACACACAGCACCAACAACACCACCACCACCTCTTTACTGCGTGCTGAAATAAAAGTATAGAGTTGGAGNGCTGTGAGTGTGTGTGTGTGTCTGTTCAGTAGAGTCGTACAACCGAGAAACAGCCGTACAACACAGCACCAACAACACCACCTCTTTACTGCGTGCTGAAATAAAAGTATAGAGTTGGAACATGCAAAGGTAAGAGAGGAAGAAGAAGAAGAATGGCCTCGTGAGTGAGAAGGCGGAGAGGGCACCAACACACCAACACACAGTCTCACTGAGAAGTACTACAGAGAAAGTATGTTCGGCGCTGGCTTCTGCTGATAGAGATGCACGAGAGCGCCAAAAGTGGCACAGATAGAAGAAAGAGACGGTTTGGGTTTAGGAGCACAGAAAGTACGAAAAGACACTGGCACACAGTTCCGCAAGATAGAAAGACTGAACGCAAAGAGAGGCAGACAAACAGTTGCCGTTTGGTGCTGCTGTGGTCTTTTTTCTTTTCCTTCTTCTTTTGCTTCAATTGTCTACATCTACTACGTCTGGTTTCGGCTGCAACAAGCATCATCTCACAGCCAATTTGGGCTGCAATTTATCTCCACATCATCTCCTCTTTTTTCCTGGTGAATAATTCTAGTAGCATTGCTTTTTTTCTATTAATTACTTGTCAGTATTGATTGGGTCCAGTGTGTGTGAGTGTGTGCTGCGACTATACTGCGCAGTAGTATCTTCAACTGCTACCTCCACCATCGCCCTTTCTCGTCATCGAACTTTTTACTCGACCACCACCATCATGAGATACTACCACAACCATCTGAACTTNGTCAGTATTGATTGGGTCCAGTGTGTGTGAGTGTGTGCTGCGACTATACTGCGCAGTAGTATCTTCAACTGCTACCTCCACCATCGCCCTTTCTCGTCATCAAACTTTTTACTCGACCACCACCATCATGAGATACTACCACAACCATCTGAACCTGTTACTGGTTCTCCTGACCACCTCCACCTGGATCACCAGCCAGGTGATGTCCCTCAAAATCTACAGTGCGTACTACACCTCCTTTTCTTGTTGATGATTTGCATCAAAGCCGATTTCTTTATTTTCTTTTTCTTTTTTCCTTTATCTCTTTTCTCATAGACATCATCCCCACATACTGCGGCAGCACTCTGGAGATTCTGCCCGCCGACCAGCTGAAAAAGGACATCAAGCTGACCGATAGCGGCGACGGCTCTTTCATTCACGCCGGAGCGNTGTTACTGGTTCTCCTGACCACCTCCACCTGGATCACCAGCCAGGTTATGTCCCTCAAAATTTACAGTGCGTACTACGCTTCCTTTTCTTGTTGATGATTTGCATCAAAGCCGATTTCTTTATTCTCTTTTTTTCCCTTATCTCTTTTCTCATAGACATCATCCCCACATACTGCGGCAGCACTCTGGAGATTCTGCCCGCCGACCAGCTGAAAAAGGACATCAAGCTGACCGATAGCGGCGACGGCTCTTTCATTCACGCCGGAGCGGCCGTCATAAAAGACCTGGACATAACGCCCAACTACAAGTGTCGCATCGTCTTCACCTCTCCGCCCGGGCGAGGTTTGGTGTTGACTGTGAAGAAGGCTTCACTAAACGCCAACGACACCATCACCTTCCGCAGCGGCACCAACCCGGTCCGGGTGTGGAAGGAGAAGCAGAATGATGAGAGTGGCGGACTGATGGAGGAGGAGATCGTCACCGTCGCCTCCAGACAGAACCCGGCTTCCATCACCGTCGACTATGAACCGACGGTGGGCAAGTCGCAGTACAATGCGGGCTTTGAAATGGCTGTCACTGTTTACCGAGGTAAGAGTCAAAAGGGACGGTGAATTTACCATAAAAGCATCCTTTTACTAAACATCATTTTACTGTAAAGCTAAGGAAAACGGCTGCGTGGAGGGCGAGTTTGACTGTCAAAATGACAGATGTGTTGGCGAAAAAATGCAGTGCGACGGCTACAATTCTTGCGGCAATAACCAGGTAAGAGAATATTCATCTTTAGATTTCGCGTGTTAACTGTGCAAATTTAATTTGTTTTTCAGGACGAATCCGGCTGTTCAGGAGTGAGTTGGCTCATCGTTGCCATCCTCATCGTCGTCGCCGTCTTTGTCGTCGTTCTGGCCATCCTCGTCTGGGTCCGCATGTCCAAGGGTTAAGCACACCGAACCAGAGCAGAGAATCAACAAAACAGCTTCTACTATTCAACTGTAGTTGAAGTTTTTCAGGGAGTTCCGTTTCACCGTTTTTTTTGCACAGTCAACGAATATTCAACCAGAACTTGTCACTTCATCTTTTGCTTGCACCATCACCACCATCATCATCACCCTCACCTCTGCCTCACAATTGTTTCTTATATTTCCCACTTTTTACAAGAACCCAATCACCACCACCACCAATCCACTTTTAATCACCAATCGATTTCCTCTTGTTTGTTACTCCCCTGTTAAACCCCTTTTTTCGTCAACTCCTACCAATTTGCACACACCTATTTTTGTCATCTACTGGTTTCTACTGTACAGACTCACATGCGCTCTCTCAAACACACAGTTATGCACTAAGAGATGATAGTATGCGCGTAATTCAGAAGGATCTGCCACTACTGCTGTTGCTGCTGCTGCTACAACTTTTGCCAAAAATGGTAAATAACTGAGAGTCAGGTGTAGGTAACACCCAGGTGACAACAGCTTCTTCTTCTCTCTTTCTCTTCTCCTTTCTACCTTTCACTAACAAACGTCTGCTGAGTAAAAGAAAAAAACAGGAGATGAACAAACAAGCAGACAAGCAGTGTGCAAACACACAGTAGCCAAACAATACAACCGAGCGAGCTTGGCAGTCTCTGTTTTTGGCCTTCTTCACAAAAAAGGTGGCACCGGTGGTCACTGGTCATTTCTGTACTTCACTTCCACCACCTCAGCAACCACCACCACTACAACACTCGTCTAATGCATCATCTAATACTCAAAAATGTTTATCATTTTATCATTATTAGTGTCAGTAAAAAGGTTTTGTGATAAAATGGAATCAATTTGTTAGATAACTTCTTTTTCTTTTTGCAACACTCAGTTAGCCCAAATTGAGCTTTATCACTGTGCTGCACAAANCTTCCACCACCTCAGCAACCACCACCACTACAACACTCGTCTAATGCATCGTCTAATACTCAAAAATGTTTATCATTTTATCATTTTTAGTGTCAGTAAAAAAGTTTTGTGATAAAATGGAATCAATTTGTTAGATAACTTCTTTTTCTTGTTGCAACACTCAGTTAGCCCAAATTGAGCTTTATCACTGTGCTGCACAAGTACACTTTTTTCCTAAACAAAAATTACTTGCTATTTATTAAAACCAAGTTTTTCACTGCAAAGTAAAAGTATCTTTTATCGACTAATATGAAGAAAAGCGGCAAAAATTTATTTGTAAGTCATGTGACAGCCGCCTCAGTGCAAGATTAGTATCTTCTACTGCACTTCAGTACTCTCAACTCTCAATTCCTTCTAAACCCCTTTTCCCTGTTTTTTCCTGATTTCTTATCAGCAGAAGTGTGTGTGTTGCTGTGTATGCATAAGTAATAGCAATCAGTTTCAACGTCGCTGCTGCTTCGTTTGTACGGCAAACGTCGTCATCGTCAATTGAGTGTGCAAAGTGGAAGATGAAAGTGGTGACTGGAACGGCTGCTCGCTGACAAAATCTGCTTTCTTACTACAACGGTCTCAAGTGGTGCCCAACTGGCACAACCCGTCTTGTTCGAGCAGACAAAGTTGTACATACTGATAATTAAAAAAGCGGACAGCGCTGACTTTTGCGCGCACTTTTCTTTGTGACCGGTGGCAACCGGCGACGGCGACCAACAGCTTAGGTGCTAGCTGAGGTGCTCTCTCACTAATGAGGGACACCAATCGAATGAAATATATACACTCAAACGAGCACTCTCTGCCTTCCTGCCTGCCTTTGCATGGCAACTTTGTCAGTTGTGAACACACACTATCGATCAGAAATGTGAATAGTAATGGTAATGGTAGTCGAACACAAGGCGGCGAGGAGAACAAAAAAGCGGTAATAATGGGTAGTGGTGCTCTATGCTTATCAATCGACTAGGTAAATGCAATTGTTGTCCCAACACGGCCGGCGACGTCAAAAAGAAGCATGCTGGAATGCTGGTGTTTCAGGCACGAACAGTAGAACAAAGCAATGAAAGCAGACAATTTAATTTAAAAGGAGCGAATAGGGACAGAAAAAGTAGTATCGACCAAAGTTCTTAAAAATCGATGCAGTTTAAAAAGTGCTGATAGGTATAAAACGGTAGCTGGTAATTTGCTTGTAAGGTGTTTGTTAAACCAATTAGTCTAAAAGCAGTGCTTTTTCTAATGTTGTAAGATTAAGAGGCAAAAAAACAGTTTTCAGCAATTTCCTTGACTGACTCAAAAGCGCTGCCAACTTCCTGCTAGTGAAACCAGTGCCACTTTTCATACTGTAAAACGCCCCCTTTTTTCAAGACAGAAGAAGGTATCAGTTTTGGCGGCTGCAGTAGTGGGGTGATAGCTGCAGAAAATTCACCATGTGGTAGAGGCATAAAAATACACCAAAAAAATGGGTGCTAGCAACAACAGAAAATATCTCTCTATGGCTGC